AGTCTACAACCTGTTCTTCATTCACGCAGTACTTAACTTACAGAAGAAAGTCTGGGTGACTAATTTTATTTTAAAAATACATTCTTGCATGTTCTTGTTGTTCGTTTCTGAGTTATTTTCTTCTTTTATTTAAGGGTTTCTCAGTACACTAAGCCAGAATTCTGAAACCTAACACACTGTAGCCTTTCAAGGTGCTACAGTAGTTTGCCTTTGTTTTCTCCCCGAACTCACCTCTTAAGTCCTGACAATTAGGCTACGCAATAAATACCGATCTGCATATGTTTGACAGTTATTGCCTTTTGGAAAATAACATGCACATTTAAGGAACAAGAAGCATGTTATATTTATAATACTTTAAATGAAAGGCTATTATTCTGATGGAAGTGCTAATCTTGTCTTACATTGGTTCTGCACGAAGAACACAGTATTTACAATTGATACTTGTATTTTAGAGCTACACTAGAAGATAGATGCAGGGGCATAAATTTTGTCTTATCAACTGTTACTCTTTGAATGTTGAAAAATTCAGAAGCAGGCTAAGACCACAGCTGCTACAAAAATCATTCAATCTAGAAAAGCCTTCACTGTTAGAAAAGCCTTGACTGTAGTCTTAAAAACAGAGGAGAAATGCTCCTCTACTTGAGAGCAAAGAACTTCATAGCATTTAGAAGTACGTACGTCGCTCTCTCTAGATCTGAAGTAGACCTTGTGGCAAGTAAGTATTTCAAATTCATAAAAAAATATTGGTATCAGACACTACTGGGAGAAGCACACCTAAGATTTACATCATCTTTGTATATCTTTTAAGCTTGCCACAAACACACAACTAAAAGTGAACAGCTTGCAGTGTACTCGGCACTTTCCCAGGGTACAAGACAAATCAATAAAATACTCCGTGAGCTCTCCTTCCAAGAGGATGACAGTATCACCATGGAAGAGCTAAGAACATTGTAATTAGCAAGTAGCAAGTCCACACAGTTCAGCAAATCACATAACTGAGAGGGCGGCAACAGCTCACAGACGTCTGTAAATCTTCAGACATGTTTAAATAGGACAGATCAATATCTAGCTTTACAAAGGAACAGGAAGAGGAGAGAGAGAGTTGCTGGCAGACCAGCAGGTCTGGCAAGTGTTTGTCTTCCATTTGTTATTCTTTTTCAAGCTTTTTTAAGATGATCAAATACAGATGTCTACTTCAGCCTGAGCTAACTTTCCTTCCCGGATCCACCACCTCCCTTGACAGGACTTCCATCGGCTGCAGTGGGAACTTAAACACCTGTCTCCCACATAAACATCAACATTTTAGAGACCTAAACTTAGGTGCAGGTCTTGCACCGAATTCCACCTCCTGCATCAGGTCCTCATGCAATATTCTGGCCAACTTCATGCCTACTAGGAAAACCACAGATGAAAAAAGCCCTAGACCAAACTGCCCTGCCTCTTGTCGTGCCTTTCATAACACAGGGTGCCATTTGATCAAGTCTTTTTCCTCTGCACCTCAGCAATTTATCTGCTGTCACATCTAAAATGGACTGTCATTTGGAAGCATACAAGATTCCTATCACAGCAATATAGTCAGGAAAAAAGTTCTGCAAACAAGAACTATACATACGATATTCTGTTAACAATGGCATCTTCATCCTCTTGCTCATCTGAAAATTAAATTATAGCAGGTTACATTCAATACTTAGTGATCTTTCCTCAGGCTAAAATGCATATACATAGGAATAATTTTAATTTTCAATTAAAATTTAGAATTACTAAAACAATTTATTAGCATCAATCTTTTAAGAACATTCCTACTGAAAAAGAATACTCTGTCTTTTTTTGCTAGTCTTAAGCTCTTTTCACTCAATGTAACTACAAAGTTATTTCACTTTAAATATGCAGATCAAAACTTGTTAGAAACATCTTCCAGATGGCTCTACAACACACAAGCTTTCAGACTACTACTACCACAGCTGCTGTTAGAACTGTCCCTTTGGGCATCTCTGAAGCTATGGAGAGCAGGCAAGCTACAGGAAAGTCTTAGGATCCATACTAACTACTATTATAAATCCCTAAATAAATGTTTCCATTTTCAGTATTTATGTATTTTTTGAAACAAGAAAGCATACCCAGAACAGCAGTAATGGCCACTCAGTTGCTTCCCCCTATTCATCCCTCCCCTCTCACTCCTGGCGATTAGGGGGAGAGGGGGAAGGACAGTGGTTGTTCTTGTTTGTTTTGGATTTAACACACCATGGCTTCCCTTCTGGTATTTCACGTTAGACCACTTTTGTTCACTTATTCCTCAGTTAATATTCCAACTTTTTGAAATATTATCAACATTTAACTCAGAGGTCAACAACTAAAGTACCCTTTATTTGTTCTATAGATCCTTCTCTACACATGTGTACACAAATGTATGCATTTCCACATTTGAAATAATTTTAGAGTCAGCTTTCTTCTTTTAAGTCCTTCAGGTTTTCTCCGAGAGGCAACTCCAATTTATTTCAAAAATCTACTAATAAAGCCAGGTGTTTAAAGCTCTTAAAAGTCATGCACATACTTGAAATAAACACATAGCCACTAACATCATGCTATTTTGAAATTCTTCTTTGAAATTACATTGGGTTATTGTTCCTGTTTTTTTGATGGGTATCTCATGGTGTTTTGATAGACTAAGCCAAGGTCTCATGAATCATTTTGGTCAAGAGCTTGTTGTAGAAACGGCAAACAATTTGTCCTGAAAGAATTCCAGAAGTGCTAACTCTCCAAATGCGTCTCATCATGAAGATCCTGGCAGGCTAGAAAGTTTGCCTAACTAAATACTCACTAAGCATCCATAAAGTCGGGACAGCTGCAGAGCAGTTGCTCTAACCAGCTGACAAGACCAACTGCCAAAAAGGTAATAAAAGTGTCTCTATGTCCAATAATATTGCCAAACCACTTTCCTCTTCCTGTTCTTCCCTATCTCCAAATGGTATAAGCTTCGCAGTATCCAAAATACGCATCAGGATCAGAAGATAGCATGCATCTTACTTGTTTAACTACTCTCTCTGTTTAAAGAGCTGCACTCTATTTTTAAATGGTATTAAATTTATTGTAGAGTTTACTTTTTTTGAACATGAATCCATCTGTGAAAGCAGCTCTATCATAACATACGTCACTATAGCTCTGTAAACAGTTTCCATCAAAGTTCAAAGTGCCAGGATTATCATGCATAAGAATGCTTCTCCAGCCTGACTGACCGAGTATCACCGAGCACCAAGGTCCCAGATAAGCTGTCAAGAGTCAAAAATTCTGACATTTTACACAGAATTTCATGCTATTTGTCTTTAGAAGATACACAGAAAAAAAAAATGACAGGGGTCCCTACAGACTAGTTTCATGCAGATATCTTTTCTAAAGGAAAAAAAAAATACAAGATTATCTCAAGGAATAAGACCTCAGTGGTGAGGTCATAAGGAACACGTTAAGAACGCTAAAATAACTGCACCTGAACAAAGCAGGATTTTCAGAAGAAATCCACTACTTCCCTTCTGTATTACTGGCAATCTTTTCACTCTACCAACTAAAGATTTTAACTTGATTTTGGTGCTAGAACACAGACTGATGATACTTACTCTGGAAAAGCTCACATGAAAGGAGAAGAGGATCTAAAGGCAAGGGAGACAGAAGCACCTACTTGAAATTGTCCCATTTCTTCCCTCTCAAAACTGCTTAAATTTAGTCTGCCACGCAGCCTCAACAGAACGGCTGATTATGGCCATCCACAGCATCTCCATAACAGCCACCCATTTCCAGTGAATCGCAGCGTGCCAGCTACAGCCCTCCCTTGGCCAATGACATCAGAAGGCACACTGAAGGGTCTGAGAAGTGCCAGAGCGGGTACAAGAGAAAGGATGGAAACTGGTGGCTCAGGGGCAAAGGGAGCAGACAGAGGGCAAGACAGCAGCATATACAATCAGATCAGTTCAGGCTGCCACAGACCTGCCGTCAGAGAAACACTTTTGGTCAGAGCTCCAGTTCTTCTGCTTTCCTTGTGGGGGCAGAGAGAAGAAAAAAAAAACAACCACCCACCCACAAAAAAAACACCTATTCACTTCAAAAACAGAATTATTTTTGAACATATTAAAAAGTCTACGCTTACCTGCTTTCCTTTTGTATCTTGTGATTATGAAGTAGGAAACTATGTAGAGAACAGCAAATAGGAGAAAACAGATCTGGAAAAAAAGCATTGCATTTATTAGGTTGTGAAGAAATGCCTAGATAATAATAAGAATAAATAGAAAGTCCAGTATCAACAATTTAAAATTTAATTTAGATCAACAAAAATGTATTCTATCTACATGTCAACACTTATTTTTGTGTTTTATATCTTGTTAATAGGAAGTCATATAACAAGAACAGTTTAATTAGAGTAACAATTATCAGATCAATTATATGGGCAGCAAGTTTTACTCTAAAATTAAGAGAAAAGCCTTATTTACAGTGTGATTTTTTGGTGGAGGGAGAGGTGGGTAGGGTGGGTTGGTTTTAATGCTTGAATCCACTTGAGTTGTAAGTTACTATGCTTTATATTCCCTTCACATGCAACCTAAGGGTAATTGTATTTTATTCAATGGGCTCTTGAAGACTTATTTTGGAGAAAGCTATCAACATACGTGGAAAGAAGAAGAAAGCACTATGTTTACTGTTTCCATCATGTCTTGAATCAAACAAATTCTAAGTGACAATACACTCAAGAGAGGCTCATTTGCCTGCAGTGGATGTCCAAGCACGAGCGAGTCAAACACAACGCTTCCCTTACAGTCAGAAGCCCAGGGCACGATTCCCCTCCTAAGGTAGGCAGCTGATTTAAGTCAGATGAACCTTGAGCCCTGCATGATTCGCATCAAGTTGTTTGAGATTTGGCACTAGAATTTCAATACAATAAGGTAAGACTAAAACATCTACAAATATGTTGGAAATTTGGGGAGGAAAGGAATCAAACAGCAAGACAGTTTTAACCCTCCAAGCCTTTGTGGGAATCCAAAATAAATAATAAATTTTATGAGCTTGCAGGAAACAAATTAAAAAACACACCACAGGCTGAGAAGATACTTGAAGTAGCCCAAACTGTTAAGATTCTTCTGCTTGTGCACAATACTAGTAGCTATATAATAAATCTTGACACACAGCTGTTAACCAACTGAATCAGGCAAAACTGTTTGAGCAGTTTTTACTACATGAAGTGAGTTTGCCCTATTACCTATACAAGGGGTTTTTTTTTAATTTGCCATGCCTGGATCTGCAATTCATAATATTAGCACCCTAAACATGTTCTGCTTCAGTCTGAGATTTAATCTGCTTTATGATCTGAAATTCAAAAATTACTTCACCAGTATGAAAACTTCTTCTGTAATCAATCATTTAAAGATTTGTTGCCTTTAAGAACTCACTGCCTTAAAAAACAAAATCGGAAGCAGAAAAGCTATCCTAAGCAAAAGGAAAAAGTGAAAGCAAAGGTAATGATGACAGCCCTTAAAAATTTACATCTAAGAGGCATATTACATCTGAATCAGCAGAATCAGAGGGGGAAAGAATGGACTGCTCAATCAGGAAAGACAGACTTTAAGAACTACTAATAAAAATAAACTGGGAGAGTTCTTTCTTTCTTGTAGTCAGACATTTTAGATAAAAATAGCCAAGTGTCTGAGCACAACATTTGAGTGCCTGCAAGTGCCCTATGGATGTCCCCCAGAAGTATTACAGTGCCATAGGTCTGCAAGTGGCAGCTGAGCTCATCCTCTGCACAGGCAACGCACAGTGGCAATATCTGAAATACAGGTGCTGAAAATTAGATTTCATAACTAGATCTCTGAATTCAAATATTTAATCTGAATAAAGTTCACCACTCCAACTATTCAGAGGATGCTTCAAAGAGGAAAGGGTTTTGATGGAGAATTTAAGTCTTTAAATAAATAACTCTATTAATAAAGAATTTTATTAAGACTTAATAAAAAAATATGCTGGTATATTTCTTGAATACGGAAGAACAAAAGAAACTCAGACTAGCCTTGGGTTTTCAGAGCATTCTGACACAGCTTGTCCTGTCAATAACAGAAAACGCAATGCCAGTGCTGAGAGTGAGTCCTTCTATAGGTTTCCAGTTCCTCCGAAAACTAGACCAAGGCTACAGATACAGACATCTAATTTTAGGCATCCACTTTTGAAAATTAGGTATCACACATACAGGGTCATTAAAAATCTTCTAAAATCTGTCAGACCCAAATAACACTGCCCCTGTGTAAAATAAAGACATAGTTACTCTCATTTTTTATTTAATTTTATTTGACAAGAGTAAAAATTACCATAATCTTGTTTCTATCTTCAAATAAAATAGATGACCTTTATTCTACCTGTGACAGCAAGGTCACAATGAAAATGTAGGTCTGTACTTATAAGGTGTCACTGAGATAACTGAGGTATTTAGAGGGCACAGCAGATGAAAGCTGTCCAGTAACGCGAACTGTCAAATGTTGTATTTCTAGTTTTAGATGACAGCTACTTTGCAACTCAGCAATAAGGTGTAACTATATATCTTAGCGTAATTATCCCTCTGCTTCCGTCAGAACTGAGAACAATTTTGTAAATACTTGATAAAGTTGTTTATTACGGAAAATACATATAATTTTAAAACAATCGGCAAGAAATCAGCAAATTCTTATCGGTGAAAGCTTTAGGATCTTAACAAAAGACAATTCATAAATTAAAAGTCCTTTGTACTGACCAAAACAAGTCAACAAGCAAACTCAGAAATACTATTTCAGTCTCAATTCATACTTAGCGAAACCTATGATCCCGATGTGTTTCTAATGATGCATTTTGCACAGCTTTCCAAAGGGAGTAGCAAAAGCCAGCATTCTAACTATTTTTAGAGTGCACTCAGTTAAGTTGGGGAAGAGGAATGTGTTGCCTGCGATAGCCAAAGAATAGACTCCACTGTCCTGTCACACTGCAATCCTGGGTTCTTACTCCTCATACTGCTCTTTGTTTCAAGATATTTTTGTACTGAAAAAAAAAAAACACCAAGCCTACAGCCCTTGTTTGTAGTTGTTCTAGCTTCAGTTCATCTTTCTCAATTTTGAATGACTGGGCTTGTATGCAGTACTCCAGGTAAGGTCTTTTGGCTATATGTAACAGCACTAAGCCTCTATTTCTGTAATTCAACACATCCACCTGAGAGTCACACTCGTAACTTTGCATTTGCCTCCAATCGCTGAATCCATTCATGCTGTCCTCCCCAATTGCTTCCAGCAGAGCAGCTCTCAAGTTGCAGTAGAAATTTGTTCTCGGGGTTCAAGTTCATCACCATGTCTTTTCCTTTTAAAAACCACACCTTAATTTCATACTACATCTATTATTTTGGGGTAATCGAGTCCTTTCTACACCATGTTGTAACCCTCCTTTATATTGACTACACCTCCTGAAGAACTGATTTAATGCCTACAACAGGATGTTTTACTTCATTTTTATCTAAGTTGAGCAACATTGCTCTTAATACTGATACCTGAGGAAACTGAATAGCAGCTTTTTTACCCCCCCAAATGCGGCACCTATTGTCACGCGTACTACAGCCAGTTTCTTATTCACTTTACAGCTCTTCTACTAAGGCACACTGACCCTAGTTTAAGAAATATGTTTCAGTGCATTTCCTTGATATAGCCCTTGGCATATGCAAAAGAAAGATTCTACCAATAGTCCTGTGGCTTCAGAAAATACAGTTCTTAACTCCTCCTAATTTGACTTTCTTAAAAACCCTCAGGAGGCAAATCCACATATACATGTTCATAGTACCCTAAATCATCTGTCAACTTTGATTTCTAATTACTTATTAAAAAGCATACTGAAATAGAGCACTAATCGAAAAAGAACACCATACATAAAGCTGCACTGATGTCTTCAGTGATAGAAGAGCCTATATTCTTCAAATTTCACCTTTTCTTCAGAAAACTATTATATGTGACAATATTGGAGCCAATATTGGAATGCAATGTTAAATCCAAATCATACTGCATTCTATGTTTTCAGCCAAAAAGCAGTGTTTTATGCCATCACCCATCTCTACAACAGAGCTGACAAAAGTTAAGGATGCTGCAAATGCAGCAAATCTAGGACAAGCTATATTCCTCATAACCCCAAGGTCTCTGCAGGGACTTTTCACTGGAGCTCAAATGCAGCTCTTCCAGGTTTGACTTGAGGAGACAGTGTAGACACTGTGCAGAGAGTGTTTGCAACTGTGATGAATAAGGATTTCTGACATTCCCCAATAGTGTCAATTTAAAAAAAAAAACGAACAACAACACAACAAATAATAACTTCCAATCTTAACATTTATTTCCTTAAATTCATTCCAACTTTACGGAGGGGGAAAGTAGTTGTGCATCTGTTGCCATAGACCACTCCTGGGAAGCTACTTCAAACCCAACTATGGTACATTCTCACTTTATAGGGGAAATATACTCAGTCCATGTTTGACCAGCTACATCAAAATGTAAAGGAAATTAAGAGCAGTCTGAGTATTTTATATTGTTATAGCCAAACAGTCAAGCAAAGCAATTCTTCACAATTTTAAATGTCTTTTTTTGTGTTCCCTCTACCACACCACTCAGTAACTGAAAACAAAACGCTTGGATTCTACGCTACATCTAGGGGCTCCCTTTTAACAAGTGGCACATCAAGAATTCTTCAAACCTTAAGCATGTAATTCATTCACGTCTCTTTGCATGGACTAAATACAACCTCTGGTAAGACAAGCAAAAGAAACCTGTCTGCCCCTGGAGTTCTTAATCTCCATTTGGGAAAGGAAGTGCTTTATGCTTAGATTACATTTTAGACATGCCAGGAGAGGTTACTTCTGGAGACGCGCTGCACTGCATTCTTGGGGATCTTGTGCCCAGCTCTTCCACTGAGTCATACTTTCAGATCCATGATCCAAGTATGATCCAAGTCATACTTTTGGAGCTCCCCCAGACAGCTCTCAGCTCCTGTGAGAATGGAGCTGGAGATAAACTGCATGCATTTCAGTTTGTAACCATGGGCGTCCAAGGGTCTAAGAGTCCAGCACTAAACACAACCAATAAAGGTCTGAACTAACTCGAATTACATTGTACTTTTCCCACTGACAGTCACCAAAGCTCAGCTGACACTAATTTGTCCATGTGGATGATCTTCAGAAGTCTGACACTGAAATTCATGCCTCGAGCCGGTAAAGCATCATCTTCTGTTGTAGGTGCTAGAGCTACATTTTAATGCCAAGAAAGAATATACCCAAAATGCACAAGATTCTCTTTTTTTCTCCCTTATGCACACGATACAACCATCTTTCACAGCTGTAATTTGTGAGTGTGTGTGCATTCAAAGCTGCACCTGTGTACAGAAAGATCAACAGCTTCTATTTATAAAGCATGATATTCTTCCCAACTGTTGTGCAGGAAATACAGATGTAGTTTACACTAGGAAAATAGCGTACAGCTGCATTGTCCAATAATTGTTCAATACCTGACAATCAGTGTGTCCTGGTAGCAAACACTCCACAGAGCATTCTGGGCTCTATTACCAGAAACAAACCAAATAATTGTGGGAAGTAATTCGCTCTCTCCAGTCAGCATTCATCAGGGCACATGTAGTTGCTGCGTCCAGTTTTGAGCTTCCAATATATGAAAGACATTGGTAATTCCAGCAAGGAAGATCACCAAGATGGTCAGGAGGCTGGAACACTCACATGGTGCCGACAGGCTGAAGGACTTTAGCTTGTTCAGCCTGAGAACAACAAGGCTTCAGGAGGACCTGACAGCAGCTTGCCAGTACCTACAAGAAGGTTACTAAGAAGGCAGAGCTGGGCTCTTGACAACAGTGGTAGGATGAGGATGAAGGTAAGGAGAAATCCCCTCTGTGAGGAGAGCCAACAAGTGGAACCAGCTGCCCAGCAAGGCTGTACAATCTCCATCCCTGGAGGTTTTCAAGCCCTAAGCAGCCTAGCCTGATGTCAGAGCTGACCTTCCTCTAGCAGTAGGCTGGAGTCCAGTCAGCATACTTCTCTGCTATTCTGAATAAATAAGCACAATTAGAAACTTTGTCACCTCATAATTTATAACCTTCTCTAGGTCATTTATGAATGTGTTTAAAAGTATTAGTGCGAGCACCAGCCCCTGTAGGACTGTGTCAGGGATGTCCTCCCACTATGAAAGGCTGGACGTCTTGCAGAACAACAACTTTTAGCAGTATGGAACCACCACAGAAAACCTATGCATAAAGAAGCCACAGACCTTCATAACACTTTTTGACTTAATACACTTGCAAGCACGAAACACAGGTTCAAGGCTTCTACCTGAAAAGCATCAAAGCGGACAAGTGATCATTTCCTCCCACTTGACTGCATACTAGCATTTAGAATAGGGAGAGCAGATCTGGAGGAGCAAAACAGACAAGAAGTGAACAGCATTTTACTACACTATGTATGAAATTAAAGATCAAGAAGGTCCAGAAAACTAAGGAATAAGGGAAGGAAATAACTTTATTTTAAAGTGGCTGTGTCAGTATTAAAACATAGGTTACTGCTATGACAACCACCAGCATTTCCATGCAACAGATGCGCAAAAAAAAGCAGCTACAGACGTAATGAAGAATATCTCCACTTCTTGCTGTTACTTTACAGAATGTGTCCTTTTCCCTAAACAGAGCAAACAGCACAGAGAAACGAGAAGGCAGAGGTCACTCTGGGTTACATCACCTTGTAGAACACATCTAAGAACACGTTTAAGAGTTGAAAACAGAACTGTCAGTGTTTTGCTTGACTGTGATTACTACCTACAGAAAAGTAGTAGTGTTGCACTTCTGGGTTTTCATTTCTATAATAGAAAACAACTAAACATAGCATTGTACACTCATCTCTTACTGCTCTCATGCTGCTAAATATTTTAATGTGCATTAAAATGCCACATGGCAACTAAAAAGCTTCTTCCTGCTGTACCACTTGGCAACTACTTTTGTTTACTCGTGGAAAGGATGGCAGGAATAAACAGCAAGAAAATACTGGTGGAGACAAGCAGTTCTGCTCAGTCTATTTCTAATAACTTCATTATCCCACAGACATCTAAAAAGCAAAGGAGGTGTTCCAACTGTTTCAGATCTGTCAACAGTAAGTTACCTATAACAAACTATGCAGACTAAAGAAAATTAAAATTTTTAGCTATGTTCTCAGTTTGACCTTGGCATTCACAGTATCATCTGCTCTGGACATCTAATTTTTCTAAAAATGAGATATTAACTATTCATTCTTAAAAACCTTGTTTTCTGTGGTTAGATGAAGTTCACTCTAATCTAGCCAGCCTTATACACTTAGCATGACACACTAAATTCAAGCTTATGACAAAACGTTAAATATGTCTTCTGACTACAGATTAATTTTACTCATTAAACATAGCCCTCCACACCTATGATTTCCCTCACATGCCTCATGGTCTCCTTTCAGGACTTATCCCTGGCTTAAGACAAGTGCAAGAAGTTGACCCACTTTTTTTGTTGGCTCCCAAGTCATGAAGAAATCATAAGTAGTTCAGAGGCTGGGTGCCTAGACTTGCTCATTTATGAAAAAAATCCAGGATATAAAAGAAAGTATGAAACATCCAAAAACATATTTCATATGCTAGAAACGCTGCTCAGCTGAAGACAAAACCCAGTCTCTGTAGCCCTTCAGAAGGTAGCTTCCATACATCACTCAAAACTACCTTCATGTTAACTTCGCCAGCAGCAGAGCCCCACTTCAAACTAATGAAGGAATTCAAATCAATATACGCATTTGTTACGTTCCTATTAAGTATATAAAAGGGAATGTATTTATGTTGCTGAGTAAAGGGGGGGGGGGGAACAACGTTATGACACTCCCACGACCCTTCGTAATAGGCCCAAGATACTTTTGTTCAGGGTACTGTATTCTATACTCAATAATACACTCAAAACCCCTCAAAAAATGACTGCAAGGCATTTTTTTTGACCTGTATGGGCAACAGCAATGCCATTAAAATCGGATTCAAGAATATTTTTCAGCATTAGTGCAAGATTTAAAAATACCCTCTAGAATTAACACCAATAGCACCAACCTAGATCACGCCAACATTCTGCCACTGAATGAAGGTATTATTCAACATTTTACAGCCAGGCTATAATAATAGGTTATATTAAAACTTCACAGAGTCATTCCATTAAAAAGTCCCTTCTGAAAAAAAACAACCTCAAAACTCTCATTAATACAAACTTTGTAAACAATCTATTTGTGTTAAGACAGCTTCTTTGGCTAATATTAATTCCCAGGGCAAGATGTGTAACTACCTTAGAAGACAGAGCTAATGAATTCTGTCCTCCTAACTCAAAAATCCTCTTCCTTGTGTTCTCACACATACATACTGTTGAATTTTTAAGTAGCACATTTTTTTTCATCCCCACTCCCAAAGCACAAACATATTTAAACTGCAGTTCTTCTATGTTTTCATAATTCTCATCAATTAAGCAGATGCTCCACTAGACATAAGTTATTGCAGTCTTAAACTCAGCAAATACTTTAGACACGCTGCTATTGTCAAATTCAGCACAAACTCCTCAGCATCCATTCTTCCCATCAGCTAAATATGTTAAAAATAGAAACTACAGTTGGGTAATGGAAAAAAATGGGATACTCGGGCATAAACAGGTACTTCAACAGTAAAACTGTGAAGCACCACATTTCGACAACGATTGTGGAGCCTAACCCTGGAAACTGCACCACTATAAGGCAAGAAGGTAAGGAGGCTGGAAATCACGTGCATACATCGCTTCTATCCTCTGTGTATTAAACTCAGCCACAGACAGACTTCAATGCCATCTATACACATACTACTCGCTGTGGAAAGCACACGTGATATGGAAATATAGAACCGAAACAAAAGTTCTGCAGAATAATATTTTCCATTTAATCAAAATTTTCAAAGCCAAATTATTAAAGTGCTCAAATATTAAAACAGTAGAAAGCACTGGTCTCTTTCTTGGAACCACGTTGATGGTAGTTAGAAGCAACTTTGAATACATCCAGCTAATGAAACAACTTAGAAACCTCTGTACGGGAAGCAGCTCAGCAACACTACGACACCTGTGCAACACCAAGCTGATGAAACGGTGACATGACTTTTGTCACCATCTTCATGAGAGTAAATTGGGGCCCAAAGAGCAACAGATCAAAGGTGCTGAAAGTATGAAGCAATTTCACTTGTCACACAAATGGCTGAATAAGGGGGTCACAGAAGTAACTTATCCGAGGTCATCTCTACCTAGCTTACCTTCTGGAGTGATGCAACAACCAAGGCTGTTAATTATTGTAGTCTCTCCTGTTCCTGGGTTATAAGTTATGTAAATTCTTGCACATTAACATTACCAAGAAGTCACTGTCCCCAGTCATTTGACAGAACATGTTTACAGGAAAGCTTTGGCGGTTTTCATGGCAAGGGGGAGGGGATGGAGAGACTAGAGAGCACTGCAGAAGTTCAGCCTTTCTCAGAGTTATCACTGCCCTCCTACACGAGGATAAATACCAAATGAAATAGGAGAGGGTGAAAAACAGCAAAGGAGAAAACACTGCAGTTTTTTTAATAAAAAAAAAACAAAGCACTTACATAACATTCAAATAAAAGCAGTACTCTTATATCGAATGAAATGTTTTCTTTAGTCTTCCTTAACCCAAATTCCCATCTATGTCACCAGAACTGAACTCTCGCTTTCTTATCCTAACTTCACTGGCAACACGCTTCAGATTCCCTCTCTGCTCCGACTCTACCCTCACCTCCTCTGCTCCTCCACCCTCCGCTTCACCCACCCCGTCAACATCTCTGAAAACACTTCCTTCACAAGGGTCCTGCACTTACAAATCGAATCACATAGCATACCCACACCACAGCAAAGACTGAGATGTTTGTCACAACCCTGCTATCTCCCAGGTACATCCTGCCATCTTCTCCAGTCCCTCTACTAGATGACCAGCTATCCAGACAAAACCCAAGACAGATATGCTTGTCCATGGTCTTGTAACCAACATCTGCTTTTGATTGCTGTCAGTTCTTTCACTTTTCATAAGATTTTCTCAAATCTAATTTACACTTTAATCTAAGTTTTCTTAAACAGATGTCTGTAGTTTTCATGAAGTGTGTCGTCCTTTTGGTCAACTGCTACCACAAAGAAACACACCAGTATTCAAAAGGAACTATTCTGAACTGTAACTAATAGCAACTTTTTACACTTCAACCTCTCATGCTTATTTTCTGTAAACAGAGAAAGTGAAACTCTCCAAAAGTTGTTCTTTGTTTGGGAATAACCATCTCTCTATCCACTTGTCTATGCCAATATTTGGAGACGTCTATTGATTCCAGATGGATCCACCAGTGCTGATCTGCAGGACCAGCAGCCAGAAGATAACTCATCACTTCTTAAAGTGCATCACAGCACCCATGTTTACAAGTAAAGACGTATTTTTAGGATGACAGAATGACACCAACAGTTTATATATGCAATGATGTTAAATGTACACCAGTCCTTCAGCCTTACATCCCACGCCACTACCACAAAAACTCCTTTATTGGGTTACAAGTCTTTTTCAAAACTTAAAAAAAAAAAGCAGCAATACTGAGAAACCTAGGCAGTTATTTGTGAGATACAAGAAGCCATTTAAGATAAATTACTCCTCAAATTTTCAGCCTACGGATAAAAATTGAAAGGCATCAATTTTATTCAATAGAAGATAAACTTGCATAAACATTCAAACAATATTTCAGCATTTGTATTAAGTTTGTTCTTAAAAATCACCCACGCTTCTAATCAGCACTCTCTTCCTGGCCCACTATCAGGATATCATCACTTCTGGCATGAAAAAGGGTCTGTGAAGGTTACAATTTTTGTCTGGGGCATAAATTCAAGGAAGCAGAACCAGTCAGGAACAAGAGCACGCCACTAACAGGAGTACAGTGCTCAATCAGCTTTCTCCTTTTCCAGCCCTATGGGGACTAATAGCAGCAGTAACCACACTGCACTAGCTCATATAGAAGAGTCCGGAACACCTCTCTACCCCAAAACAGGATGAGAGGACAAAAGGTGCTAAAAAAAACAGAAAAGAAAACCAAGCCAGTGGTATTAGTATGAAGTTGCAAACAAAAATCAAAGACATGAGACAGTTGCAACTACCTAAAAAGACCTTTCTAAACTGCTGGAAATTATTTTTAGATTCAGATTTACACACACACACAATAAATAACCATTGTACCACCTGTAACAAAAAAAAAAAATACAAACACCAAACACCTTAGTACTTAAAAGTGGTATGGCTTAAAAAAAAAAGTCTTCTTGTAGAGGGAATTGCATTAAGAAGCAGAGAAACTAAGTTTCTCAGACATCTAGCATCTAAAGCCTATGGCCCCAAAAGCCTTTAGTCCTTCCAATGGAAGCATATGACATTAATCATAAAACTACATATTATACCAGTTTCAATGTCTGCCTGGACTTGTAAGAAGCAATTAGAGAGCACTTTTGTATTTGAACTTATTCCACCAGGACTGATCTTCTTCATGACATATTTAATATAATTCATACCATTCTTCATGACATATTTAATATAATTAAGTCATTTCCAAATATACTATGTTTGTTCTTAAGCTTTCTAACGAATAATTCTGTGGTCACCAAATTGTTTTCTTCTGCAGTTTTCCCCATAATACAAATGCAAGCACAGTGTACTTATTTTGCCAAGGAAACCTCATAACCAAGTGTATGTACATATTTTTACAAAGTCAAAATCCTACATCTAAATTTTAAAAATACAAACTCATATTGCAGAATAGAAGACTCAAGCGGGGGAAAAAAAGGAGTGTAAGAATATTCTAAAAAATAAACTCAGAGGAACACAAAGAGACTGAACCTTTGCATTTACTTGACTTGCATTTGAAATAAACAGTTCAGAACAATACTAGCGGAAAAGGGAACACTTTATAATTATGTTGTATAAACAGACATAATAACAGGACTCAAGGGAAACGCAGTTCCCTAAAAGCTTTAATATTTTCCATGGATGTGCAGGATCTCAGCAAACTATAAATGAATCTAAAGGATCAAGAAAGGCAAACTAAGCATATAAAAATAAAAGATAGTATCAGACCAGCACAGAACATTGTCTGGCCTCTACAACTCTTTCATAGAAATGCTGATCTAGTACAGAACACAGATGCTCCTCGATATTTTGTAACCACCTCAAGTTGCTTTTCAGAAAGATGCCCGTTTTAGTCAGAACCACGTGCAACTCTGGCTTTATCGAAGTCAAGGCTCCCACTGACTTAGAGCAAACTCTTGGCTGTGCCGTGTCTCATACACCGGGTCATCTGTTCTCAATCTCCATGTCTGCTTTACCGGATCCAAGTTTTAAAGTTCATACAAATCTGAAACAGCCTGGATGTTTTCAATAACTGTTCCAAACAACAGGTCCTCAACATCGCAGATTCACATTCAAAGAATCATGCCAAAATTAGTTAATCTCCTATTAGTAAAACATCATCCTCATGAAGCAACAAAATACAAGGCAGATTATCTTCTTACAACAGGCACCCTCTTAAAAAAACAAGGTACCATACAGGCACTCCAAATGAGGACAAGAGTGAATTGGCCTGAGTTAAATTAAGGATTAAATCAGACAGAAAGTCAACTCAAAAGCAAATGAAGGATTTAGTGAAAAAAAAAATCTTTTACTACCCTTGCTCAATCTATAAACTTGTGTCAGAAACATCTGTCTTTTTAAGGTGGAAGTAGCAGAAACTCGCACCTACAGAATGAGGCAGGCACCACCAACAGAAGGTTAACAAGCCTTTAATTTGTGTTACATAACACAACTTCATGGAAACCCTTGTAGCTTGCCAGTTCAGAAAAGAGATGAAATAGAAATGAAGCATTACACTGAAGTTAAGCTTAGTATGCCTTCGGACTCCATCAGAAAGCACAATCTACAAATTCTTGTCTATTCAAAGACATGAAGAAAATTTGTAAAAGAGAAATGAAAAGGGTTTTCTTTTCAACGATATCAACTTTGATTTCTCTTCTGTCATGACTGTTATCTTTCAGCAGAGACTGGGCCATACATCTAGGGCTCCAAAGACAATACTATCAGATTTCATATATTTGACTTGCTTCTTACAGGCATACAGAGGTTTCCTCCACTGTAATATTACACAACAAACATCAAATGCTCCTATTAACTGCTCCACTGCCCCCAGCCCACCTACAGCTGGAATTAGTCTTGTGCATGTGTCAGAAAGTAGAATATGTTCCCTCCTCCAGCTGAGGGGCTGACGATTCTACCCACTACCCACACAACAACTGTCTATTTGCACAGTTTAAGAAATTCTAGTCACCATGTAACTTCATGACCAGCGAGGGCAGGAATGATGAGGAGGGGATGTTAACATAATAGTACACGTAAGCAACATACTCTGCGTGCTTCATCATGCTTAAACGAACCACAAGTGTAATCATACTTGTAATATTCTTCTGCAGCTATGTGAGAGCCACAAGAAGGTTGTACACTCAGCCGTGGATGGCAGCAGTTTATGCACTCATAAAACCCTGTGGTCTCTCAACATAAATTTAAGACAAGATCACAATGCGCAATTTAAAAGGCAAAATTGTTATTATCATCCCCACTGATTAAACAATAACATAGATGGCTGCTGATCAATATTAGAGATCAGTTTCAAAAGCAAGCAGTCATTCACTGAATATTCTGCCTCCACTGTCCAAATAAAGCAACACTGCACCTCTAAAATACGAGTTCTTGATGTCTTATGTGATTTCTTGCACAACTACACCAATAGGAAGAGTTA